TTTCCATGCAAGTATTTCACTGCCTTATCTGGTACATGAGGTTAATGTATGAAGACATGCTAGCTCTGGAGCTAATGACACTTGGATAATTGCTACCATGTGAGATTATCTTGTGATGTATTGGTCAAGTGTGCCTTCAGAATGCAACTGGAGTTCTTATATAAAATCACAAGGCTTTCTTTTCAGCTAGTATATTATAGGATAGCATTAGACTTTTTTTTTTCTCTCTCTCTCCAAGTGTAGTTTGTGAGCCATATCAATTGGCCTGTCAGCAAGCTCATCTAAGCTGATTAATTATGGTAGCCAAGACATCAGTTTAGAACAGGTCAGAATTGTGTGTTATGTCTATAAATGGAAAACTTATTATGCAGGCTTATTCTTAATGCTTGGAAGAACAGAGCTGCTTTGATGTATTATTTGGCTTTTATCTGTTTTATGAAATTCTGCTTTGTCAGCCTCTGGACATACATTTCAATGACTTGCTTTACTTCTGCCTGCATTTTTTAAAGGGTGGATGCACAGCAGACTCTTATGAATAAAATGAAAATGCATCTAAAAATTGGCTATTTTGGTGGGGCTTTTAGGGTTTATCTCATCCATCTTTTTTATTTTTTTCATTCTGACTTTTCTAGTTTGTTCAGTACTTGTGCAAGGTGCTATATTGACACACCTGGAGTCTAAACTCCACCAGCAGACTATATCCGGATTAAAATATAACAAGCTTTCCTCCTTATGTTTTAGTGGTTACAACTGTAAACAAACACTATGCACGGTATTATATGTGCACACGTATTTTGCACAGGTGGATACAACTATAAATATTTTAAATATGTTTTGTCGCTTTTCATCTGTAGCTATCCAAAGCACTTTACATAGGTGAATAATGATTATTATTTCCGTCTTATTGATGGAAGCATAGGTTATACGCTATTAATTTGAATTCTAGATATTAAACTTTTGTTTTAAAATTGTACTTTCAGGTACTATCCCTGCCTTAGTCCTCCTACCAATTTTTTGGTGTTGGTGACATTTTCCTTTCTGTGTTTCTTTCCAATTTTGCTGTGTTAACTCCACCCAAATGTATTGCAGTAACTACATAGTCGATTACTTAGTGAACTATTTTATTTCAGCTTTAAAAAGCAAAGGCATAAATTATATACTTACAGAAAAGGTTAATGTGCAAAAGAACGTATGCCTCCAGTATTTTTACTCGGTTGTAACTGAAAGAGTTTAATCACGGGTGTTAAATTCAACAGAAGGAAGTTTAAAAAAAATAGGACATGACAACTGTGGTGTTCCTAGAATTAACTTTCCCAAGGTGACTTAGGCCGCATTTACACAAAATGTTGACCGCGCAGTAGCTCGTTACGATCGCACAGCAGTGCTGCACAGCACAAAGCGTGACGTGATGCTACTGCTCAGTAGCAACGAGTTACTGCAGTCGGCACCACCAAGAAACCGTTCGGGGATGCTACTGCGCTTTAATGCCAGTTACTGCGCAGTCATTTAATGCTTGGGTATGCACGTACTAAATGACTGCGCAGTAACAACTGTGCAGTCAGTCTGCTGTAGACAGCCTTAGTGATTAATTGGTAATATTAGGAAAAGAGCCCAGATCTGAATTTTATTCCACCTCCCCCCCGGTCCCAAATTGAATCCACTTAGATCATAACTTCACCGTAGCCGTGTAAAATTAAATGAGTGGAAAAGACCAACAAAGAGTTTGGATTTAACTGAGATTTTGAGGGTGCACAGTGGTGTAGAACACTTGGCAATTCTTTTGGGACATCTTGCCTCATGAAAGAACTGTGCATAAGTGATGGTATTTAGCAAAAATGAAAACCTGTCATAGTTTTCTGTCTTTTGAATTATTTCCACAAAGACATAGGATTTGTGTGTTGAGGACATGGTGTTTTGTAGCCAAATGCGTTAACAAATCCTCAGGAAGGGTCCTGACAATGTATAATTAATGCAGAAGTCATTTCTTTTAGTTTACTTTCCTTACTCAGCAGCTGAAGGGCCCATCCAGAGCTCCAACTACTTTGATAAAATTGCCAAACATTACAGCACAGTTGATAAAAGGCTCGTCTTGTAATTCTAATGCAGCAGCCTATAAAGAACAAAAAGCTCATGTTTAATCCTGGGAAAAAAAATGTTTTTTTATAACATTTATTTATTGTATTTGTATCTAAAATATGTACAGATCTGGATTCTTGCACATTGGAGGATTAGAGAATGGTAACAAATTTGTTTTCACGATGCCATTCTTTTTAAAGCCTTATCAAATAAGGCGTTATGTAAAACAGGATTCAGATACTCTACAGAATGTTAATTTAATTAATTTTGTTCTGCTTGGCAATACGGTCCTGTCGATGGAAAATATTGTGACCAGGAGTTAAGGACAAATTGTTTCTGTTCCTGACTAATCTCATTGAGTCTTGTTGAGAGTTTTGAAAAACAACTAAATTGCTCTGTATTAGCATCCCAGCTGCAAAATGGGATTATTACCTTTATGTAGCAGTTCAGAGATCCTTAAGAGATAGATGCTTACCAAGTGCAAATATTTTTTCAGCTCTGCAATTTTGGATAGCTGTCACTGGATGGCACTGTATCGAGCTCTGTATCCCTTTGTTCACTGAAGTGTTAAATTGAAAAGCAGAGAAGAGGCAGTAAGATAAGGCTGTACAACACTACATTCACTTAAGCGGGATGTCAGGGACCGATAGCATTTTCTGTTCTGGAGGAATCCTAGAGAAGTATGGAGGGAAGGGGTCGTGTAGTCCAGTCACCTACCTGAGGCAGAACCATGTCTATCCAAACCATCCTATACAAATCTATAATCTAATCTTTAATAAAACTACACAGTCAAGGAAATGGTTTATTTTTTAAAGAAAATTACTTGGGGAAAGAAACTGAAATTGTTTTTCACTGAATGAAAATCTTCATTTTTGTTTATTTAGAGAATCTTTTTATTTCATCTCTAGGAAAGATTCGAAGCACTTTTCACAGTCTATGACAACCAAGTTACATTCCAGTTGTTTAAAAGCTTCAGACGAGTAAGAATAAACTTCAGCAATCCAGAGGCAGCAGCAAGAGCGCGGATAGAACTACATGAGACTGACTTTAATGGAAAAAAGCTGAAGCTTTATTTTGCACAGGTATGATGAAATATAAAACATGGTCTAAAGGTTTTCTTTTTTCTGCTCTCTTTTATATGGAGCCGTGACCTCATCCCCAGTAGAGTTCTGAAGTGACCTCTGATATCACACGTGTTGTCCTCCTCTCTGCTTTAATGGACGTGCACACATCAGGGACTCTCTTCCTTTTTTCTTTTTTTTTTCTTTTTTCCCCATAGCTGCAAATCCTACAGATCCATAATTGGCTGCTGTGATCACTCTTAAGTGGCAAAAAGCTCCCCGCCCCTCTCAGACAAAATGTACTCCTTTTCTTTGAATGCATTCCAGAACCTCTTCTCTGCATATCCTGTATCTGTTTATGAATTTTCTGTTGGATTATGTCTCAGCATGTGGTATGTATGTTGCCAAGGTCATTGTCACCATAAATAAATAATAATAGAAAGAGGTTTGGGAAAATATTGACATTTGGGAAAAAAACACACATTGCAACTAGGAGAGACCTTATCCTGTTGTATTGTCTTAAAGAAAGTGGGATAAACTTTTGTCACTTGTAACTTTTGAAGCTAGGCTGGATAAAATGCTAGAAATATATGAAAAACCATCTTAAATGATCAGGCAATGCCCCTACTGATGTAGTCCTAACCTTTTTTGGCAGGCATGCCACAAATTAACCCTGCACCCTCCCCAAGTGCCATTCTGATTCCTTTCCCTTGCCTCATCTGCTGCTCTGCTTTCTGCTCCCTGTTGCACTGTGCTTTCTGTCCCCTGCCACCTCTGGACTAGATCGTCTAACGGAGAAGAGACTTGATGTTAGTGGTGTTATCATGGTGGGATTTAATTTTTTAGGTCCAGATGTCCAGCGAAGTGGGAGACAAATCCTATCTCCTTCCACCACAACCTGTCAAACAGTTCCTGATATCACCACCTGCATCTCCACCGGTTGGATGGAAACAGAGTGAGGATGCCACTCCTCTTATAAACTATGACTTGCTTTGTGCTGTTTCCAAATTGGGGCCAGGTAAGACTGTTTCCTAGTATTTTGTTGTTCACCATCACTAGTGTAACTAGAAAAACTGGCATACAGATGCACACCTCCCATGTCCCTACAAGGTTCAAATAAAATAGTTCATTACCTCTTTTGCTGGATTGCCAGTTCATTTGAGAGAGTTTCCACAGTTTAGCAGTGGATTTTGATGCTCTTGAGTTTCTTCAATCTTGCTATGGAAATAATCAATATATACTTTACATAACAAAAAAAAAAAGGGGGGTGGGAGGGAGAAGACAGGAAAAGGGAGGAAGGTTTATTCAGTTGAAATTCCCTTTCCAGTTAGTAAGGTACCAGTCACTGCAGTATTTAGTTCTGGACACCATGCATTTAAAGTATCAAATCTTCCATTTGACCTTTCCTAGAGCTTTTCTCTTTGTTCTCCCCTGAAAATGGAAACTCCTTTTTTTTAAGTTCAGGGCATGATATGCTCTGACCTACTACTGATTTACCTTTTAACTTGTTAACTGGATACAGCAATAACACTGCTTACCTTGTGAGCTGTGAATTGAGGCTTCAAGTTTGCAAAGCACTTTCCATACATTATTGAAGATGCTGAAGAAGTTTGTAGGGCAAATTGTATCATTTCAAGTTTTTTACACCACTTAAATATAACATGGTCAGCTATGCATGCTTTAATGCTGCACGTACTTCAGAGGAGCAGATGGAAACTAATTTGTAAATAGGTATTATTAGTATTCAAAGAGTACCATGTACCATATACACTGGTAGTATGTTTCAAACCATGTCATGCTAAGTGTTAAAGACTTGTGGAAGGAGACCAAATTGAACATGAGAAAGAATTAAATTGCTCTTTGTTAGCACGATTCAGTTAATATTCACAGTAATAATGTTTTGAGTAAAAGTTATTTAGGAACTTTTTTTTTCTGGGAGATGTTGTTGCAATAACACTTTCCTTTTTTATTATATTTTCTAGGGGAGAAATATGAACTTCATGCAGGAACAGAGTCTACTCCTAGTGTAGTTGTCCATGTTTGTGAAAGTGAAACAGAAGAAGATGATGACATGAAAAATCCCAAACAGAAAATCGCACAGACAAGGCGCCCAGAACCACCTCAGACAATACTAAATGAATCTAAAACATTTGATTGTACACCAGAGGTAGGGGGTATCATGCACCGTTAAGATCTTGTGGTAATATAAGCAGTGTCTGTAATGAGATGCTAAATTAAGATGTGTATTGATGTCTGCATTGCTGCATTATATATGGCAGTGGCAGATTTTACTTGTAGGTAGTTCTCTCTCATGTTAAAGATTTTGGATGCCAATATTTCAAACAGCACTTTAATTTTAAGGACTAACTCCCCCAAATGTAACAAAATCCAGTAAATTTAAAATAGTGACAAAATAGGAGGTTTTTCTTGATATTGTGTAGCATGGTGCACTAAATGCTAAAACAATATCTTAAAGTAACCATCTGTATATTATTTTCAAAATAGTTTGTTGTATAGTAATCAAACGTGGCTATCTTTTGTATGGGGTGCACTGATAGAGATTTTTGGGGCCGATACCGATAGCCGATTTTTAAGGAGGCATATCGGCCAATACCGATCTGATTTCCAATATGCAGCCCGGCAGCTTGAAGAGCTGTGTGCGGCTGGTAAGTCTGTTGTGATGGAAGGAGCGTGGGTGGGGGGTAGATAAAGGACCCTGCAGTGAGGGAGGAGTGGGACAGGGGCTGGGGTACGTCCTGCCCAGCTGGGGCAGGGTGCAGGACAGAGCCACAGCTTGTCTGAAGGGGAGGAGTGTCTCCTTCCACTGCGCGCACCCCGGGAAGGCACAGGAGGCGCATGCCCCTGAATCGGGGTGGGGCGGGCTGCAGCTGCAGGCTGGAACTGGGGCAGCGCCAGCACCAGGCTCTTCCCAGCGGGGGCTGGGCCAGGCTGCACTTGGGGTGTGCAGCAGCAGCACTGTGCCCCCGTGCACTCCCAGGGTGCACGCAGCAGCAGGAGCTTTCCCCCACTCCATGGCCCCTGGATGGGCTGCGGCTCTCTCTTGCACCTCACCCTGCCCTGGCTGTGCAGCGCCTGTCCCAGCCCCACTCCCTCCCTCACTGCGAGGGCCTTGAATTGCCCCCCATGCCCCTTCTCTCCCCCCTCCCCTTCCACTACAACAGACATACCAGCTGCACAGAACTCTTCAAGCTGCCGGACTGTGCTCCTCGCTGCCTACATGCTGTGTTGCAGCTGCCTGCATGCACGGGCATTTATCCGCCAAATTATCGGTCACATCAGGCCGATTTCCAATGCATTCAATTTTCTTTATATCAGTGCCGATCCGATATCGGACCAATGTATCAGTGCACCTCTACTTTTGTACTAGTACAACAGCTTCAACTAATATATTGAGTATATGTAAGTGTAATATACAGTGTATGCTGAAATTCCTTTACAGGTAGGAGTCTGTTTTGGGATGAATGAGAGCAGACTGATCCGTTTGTGAACCTGTTCCATTTATCTTTCTCAGAAATGCCAAATATTTCTTATTTAAAGGTACCTTTATGATTTGACACAAGGGGCACATACCTGTGCAGAATTATATGCATTTATGGTTCTGCTAGTTACTCCTAGAAAAACAAGAGGCAGATAGGAACCACCGACCACTTAGGAGGTAGACTCCTGACAGCTTCTGCCTCCAAAGCTGCTGCTGCTGCTGTAGTATGATGTTACACTGATTAGGATTGTTTGCACTGACAGTTAATTAAAACAGAAAAAAATTGGAGTAGGTAGAGTGAAACATGGTTTTGCGCATTGAATGTTTAATCTCCAGTCTTTAAAAATGTTATAATATTCCCCCCTATTCTGGAGACTCTCTAATCTAATGATCTTTTCATTTACATATAGTGTACGGTTAAATGGTGTTCAGGAATATGAGGTCCAAGGTGAGTTTTTACTTGAGGTTTTAAAGCTTGCTTCCTTTATATATTTCTTTTAAAGACAGTCAGTTGCTAGGGTGGCTTAGCCAGTCCCCACCCTGTTTTTATGCAGTTTAACCCAAATTTACATTTTTTATTAAAACCATGGTATTTTTCATGGCATCCTGTATGTATGATAACTCATCTGTGACTTTGGAGATAGGATGCATCTTTTAAAATGGACACCTGTGGTTTAGTGAATTTGTGTTAAGTATTTCATTAGGAGGAAATATGCCTCAGTATAGTGGCACATGCTCCTATAGTTTATGCTCTTTTATAAACTACCTTTTTTAGTCTACACAGATTCTTCTTTTTTGTATTAAAAAAAGCTAAATTATTTGTGAACAAACTAAGCTACCTGGGTACCTATTTGATTTCTGTACATAAATCACTCTGAAATTGGCCTTTCCCTGATCATTTAATACGTTTCTTTTTTTAACTCTGTATAAAGTGCTTATTGAACTCTGCAAAGTATTTTGACTTGATTGTCAGTGAAAAAAAATTAATGGTGATGAATTGGTGTTGGCGCAGTAGATAAAAGCTTGGTATTGTGCCAGCTATTGATCTTTTCTTGCCATCAGCTTCAGGTTGCAAAATGGGATCCTGCAGGCAGGTCCTCATTCTGGAGGCAGGAATCACAGATATAAAAAAAAAAAAAAAAGGAAAAAATCTTTCTTCTTGTGTCTTACCTGCATAGGCATACATTTATGTGACTAGCTGATGAGCCATTCAGAGTCTGACTTTTCTTTTCCACAGTGCCCTGTCCAGCCATACAGTTTCAATATCATCAGTTCAATTTTTGTGCACTTTAAAATGCCAGGAATTCATTGTGGACTTTGTCGTGTTATATTTTTGTTCGTTGTTCAATTTCTTCCCCATTGTAAACATTGATATAAGTAGGATAAAGTGGAAAACCTTCAAAAATGCAGTTTTATAAAACAGACTAATTCAGTCATGTTGTTGTGAATGTATCTTGTATAAAACGTATGACAGTTTGTGTTTCAACATAAAAGATTCATTGTGTAAAAAGTCATAAAATAAAAATAAAGCCGTGCCATTCAGATATTTTTCACTAACTGTAATAGATGTGTGCCCACTTGGAATATGTAACTTTGTCTTTTTTTAGCTGCTAGTATTCTAACAATTATGCATACTTAAGGGTTTTGGGTTGTGATAGGTTTTCCCGTCAGCCGGTTTAAAAACAAATGAGGAGTGAAAAAACACTTATTGACTTCATAAAATTGCCTTGAATTCAGTATAAAAATTGTCCTCCTTCTGAAGCTCTAAGCTCCTTAATAAAACTGCCAGGGAGCATTAGTAACCTGTTAGTGCATACCTTCACCCATTTTTAACCCAGAAAAAAATATCTAAAGCATCTGGCAAATCTTTTTCTGTGAGGATGTATCTTTTTACCCTAAAACTGGAAACTCTGCCCACATCCCATTTCCTTGTAGCTGATGAGAACAGTCTTGGAAAACATGTGAAGTCCTTGTTGTGGTGGTGTTTTAATTAAAACTTCCTTCAGCTGGGTTGGTCAGGCAAGCCGATACTTCTGTTTGCAGCAGAATTCAAGGTAACTTTTTGTCAACTGTCAAAGTTCAATGTCTTCCATCACGATTGTGGAAAATAAGTTATTCTTAAGATAACTGTAGAAAGAAAAGAGATCATGGTGAAAGATATGAAAAAGTGCATCTGATCATGCAAGCCAAGATGCTTTTACACCAAGTCTAAAACACCTGTTGAGTATGTAATAGATACTTCCACTGGCATTGGTTGACATTGCCGTACTTGGACTAAATCCATCTTGTTAAGCTCATGGGTATACATCCAGTAAAGGTCAATCATTTGGCCTGGGGGCCTACTAGTAAGCCATATACTCTGTGTATTTGGTATAGTATATCTAGCTTAAGAAGGATTCGCATTGGAAGCCCCTGTAAATTAGGACAAATTCATTCCTCAGTACAGTATTATCTATCAGTGGTATTGCACCAAGACTTAGCTGGACCCTATCTATTTTGAATGCTGTTCTGATTATCAGTTAAGAGGATTATTAAGTTTGATTGGGAGTCTTGAAAATGGGTTTGTATCTATAGAAAAAAATAGGTTCCTGTCCAAAAGTTCTGAGTACCCCAATACCAGTTACTAAAATAGAATTAAAAAGCAACTTAAACCCAACAGACTTAAATGTCTTGCACACTTCCTCCTTTCAACCTCTACCCTGGGAACGTATTCCTATCAAATCTTCCATTTTACAAAGGCTCAGCATCTTGAGCCTTTGAAGCATTTTATCCCTCTTTGTGGCATGTGTGATACCTGAATTGAGAGCGAGCCAAGTTAATTGAAAAATGGCCTCTTCTTTCAGAACATATGGGGGGGCTCTTTAATACTTCAGTTTACTCTTGGTACATATTCCTAAACAGCAGAGGCAGCAGCTGACTTCGTTATGCTAATGGTAAAGTGCTTGATCTAAAGCATATCGACTACTCTTGGTAGCAGTCAGATTGACCACTTGACCTCAGAGAGAGCTCTCACCATCCTGTACAGCTAGTCTAAGAGAACGAGACATGGTTGGAGTAGACTTATTAGGTCACATCCTTAGCTGGTGTAAATTAGCACAGCTCCATTGGTAGTGGAGCTATACTGTTAGCTGAGAATCTGGTCCATCTACAGGGTGAGCACACTTGAAAGTAGTTTTAGGTTCTGTCTTCACCCTGCAAAAGTAACTGCTAGAAAATATGGACACTTGTTGAGGCTCACTGAGTGATGAGATGCATTTTAGTGTCTCAGCATGGGAAATGCACTTCTCATCTGGCTTTGATGCCAGTAACTAATTAATTGTAACCTGCATAATTCATGCAATAAATTCACCTTTCTTCTTTTCTTCTCTTCAGCACCTGGGACTCCCTTTTAATTTTTGTTTGGCATTTAATGCAACAGACTACATATGTTTTGTAAGAGGCAATGCGAGAGTGATAGGTTGACAGAATTAAATTGCCTGATCTCCCATTTGCCTTGATGGGTATCTGCACAGAGTTCATCCCAAAATTATTTTTTACAATAGGACTACAGAATGGAAAGTTTAAAACTTCAATCACCTAAATGTGTGGCATTTGTATGAGTCTTATCACAGTATCTGAGTGCCATTAATGGATGCTTTAGGGATCTATTTTGTAGCCGTGTTGGTCTGAGGGAAAAAAGAGCTACACAAAGCTCTTGGGTCAGAGGCGATATCTTTTATTAGACCAACTAAATAGTAGCAAAAAAATTCCTTTCTTTGCAGGCTTTCAGGCACATATGTCCTTCATCAGGCTGAGGAGAATTCAAAGATTGTAAAAGTCCCCCTAGCTAGGAATAAACTCCATTTTGCACAGAGGAGGTAGAGGCCTGACCTGTATTCCCCGGGGAATCAGAGTCCCTTTGTGAGAGTGTTGCTCTGTGATGTGCAGATGAGGCTGTCTTCTTTCCTGGAGGTGTCTGATGTCCGAGGCAGCCAAGGATGTTGTCTTTCTAATGGACGTCGTCTTTCTAAGATGATGCTTTTGGATGACAAATTTTTTCTCATATTTTGACATAAGTGGGAGACTAGATTCTTTGTCAGTTCTTCGCATCTGCCACTGCTCACAGCTGACACACTGGCGATTTTTCTTTATGCCCTAGAAATTGCCCCTTCAACTATCTATGCTGTTTCATTTAGACCTTTTTTGCTTCGTTTCAACACTAAAATGAGTTACTTCCTCACAAAGCAGTACCCAGAAGCTGTGAAAATGTACAGGTGCTGCACAGTCCTTTTCACAGAATCATAGAAAATAAGGGTGGGAAGAGACCTCGGGTCACATCTAGTCCAACACCTGCTCCAAGCAGGACCAGCCCCAACTATCAGCCCAGCCAAGGCTTTGTCTACCCAGGTCTTAAAAACCTTGAGAGATGGAGATTCTGCAAACTCTCTGGGGAACCTGTTCCAGTGCTTTATTACCTTCCTCATGTGAGAGTTTTTTT